ATAAATTATGTGAATTTTAATCTGAATTGTGAATTATGTTGCAACAAAAGTAAATTAAATTTAAAGGTTTATTTTTTTTTAGTTTTTTATATAATATTCATATTTTATACTTACATTTTTTTTATTTTTTGGCAATTTTTGAACAAAGGAAAATTTGTTATTGCTAGCATTTTTTATATTATTATCAGGGTGGTCACATGTCAGTAAAATCAGTAAAGTCAGGAAAATGTTAGTAAAAAAAAATTTTTGTCAGGGAAATTTAGAAAATTGAGATTTTTTTCGACTTTTTTCCAAACATTGCAACAAAATATCATATTTTTTTAGTATTAAATGTAATTTCCCTAGTTTTGAATGTTCAAATGAACGAAATATAATTTTTTAGCTCTAATATTTTGAAAAATTACCAGACTAAAATAAAAAATATTCTAATTGAAGAATTATTCACAATAAAAAATAATTTTTTTAATTACAAAAAAAATATTTAGTAAATAGAATTCAAATTAAAAGAAATAATAAAAATATCGTTCGGTTCATTGAAATTTTCGAAACTTTAGGGACGTTAAATGTAACTCATTTCGATTTCCATAGTAGAAAAAATAACTATAAACAAATTTTTTAAAAATTTTTTTTGGAATCATTTAAAAACATTTGGAATAATTGAAATTTTGTAAAATTTAATTGAATATAATCAATTTTCTTTCAAGTATTTTATTAGAATGTTTGAAAATGAACTTTTGAAGAATTTTAATTGCTTTAAAGTTTAAAATAATTGAATTATCAAAAATTTTAATGATAAACATTTAAACATAAATTAAAAAATGGAAATTAATAAAAATTAGCTTCTAATTTTTTTAATTCAGTATTTTCAATACTTTCAATTACATGTTTTCTAAAATTCAAATACATAGAAAAAATAATTACATTTTAGAATTATTTTTAACGTATTATGGAGAAAAAATCATGTTCAAAAATATTTAATTAAAATTCATTAAAAAGATTAATTAGTTTTTTTTAAATTAATACAAAAACTCTTTTAAAAAATTCAATTGTTTTCGAAAAATTAGATTAAAATATTTTTAAAAACTACTTAATTCTTAGAATTTTTTTGTCCCAATTTTTTAAAGATTTAATTATTTTCGAATAAAGTAAATAAAAAGTTACTTTTTTAGACTTATTAAAATTTCCGATAAATCATGGTCATATTTATAATTAAAATTCTTCAAAAATTTGATTATTTTTTGAAAATATTGCAACTTTCGGAAAATTGTTAAAAATAATTGATTTAGAGATTAAATTTAGTTGAAATGTAGAAAATAATTGAATTTAGGAATTTAAATTTACAATTTATAATTGTAAATTTTAGAAATTATTAAATTTCATAAATTTTACTTATTTTCCGTAAACTTTCATATTTCCCTGTGAAAAAAAATTGTGTTAGGTAGAAAAATTTTAATGACAGTAAATTGTCAGTGAAACATCATAATAATGCAATAAATAATAATACTAGGTAAAAAATAATAATTTAAAATAATAAATAATAAAGAAAATAATGTGAATTAAATATTTATTTGTCGAGAATTAATTTTTAAATTATAAAAAAAACAATATTTTATGATAAAATAAAAATAATTAAATTTTTTTTCATTCTTTTATTATAATTTAATTGCAATATACCGTTTGCAAAAAGAAAACAAGCGACAGTTTTAAAAATACGCAGATAATTAATTAAAATTGAAAATATAATAAATGTGTAATTTCTCTTTCGTACAAAAACGATATCAAAGTGAAAAAGTATATAAGAATAATAATTATTTCGTGAACCAAGAAGGAATCGAGTTGAAAAGCGTTTTATTAAGAGCAGATGCTGCTGTGTGTTGGCACAGTGTTAAATATTCAGTTGGTTGGCTTAATTGCGGGAAAAAAGGCGACAAAATCAGTTCTTTCTCGAACACCGACGTTCTACTGGGTCTACGAAAAAACGCGGCTCGTTAAATCCCCCGTTAGATTCGAATGTCCGAAACGTGCCTCGTATTCCTTATTTAAAAAAAACTCTTTCTTCGCGCTTGCTCGTGTTTATAGAAAATTATTTTATTTATTTTATTTATTTATCAAAATAACTAGCCCAAATATTAAATTTATTTTTTAATTCAAAAATTTATATTATGTTCACATTTTTTCTAAGAATGTCAAATTGAGACAAAAAAAGTATCAAAATTGTTGCGATGCAACAATTTTGATACTTTTTTTGTCTCAATTTGATATTCTTAGAAAAAGAGTGTTTAATTATAATAATAATAATAATAATAATAATAATAATAATAATAATAATAATAATAATAATAATAATAATAAAAATAATATATACATATTAATAGTAATAAAATTTAAAAAAATAATAATAACAGTAACGATAGTAAACAATAGTAGTACTGTAGTAGTAACAATAATAATAGTAACTATTTTCTTAGAGGAGGTGGAGAGGCGAAATAGTAAAGAAATAATGCCTAAAATTAGCATAATTAGATTTATCGTGTAGTTTATAATTTACAATTTCAAAAAGAAAAAATTTTTTCTCAGGTGAATCAAATTTTTGCGCGTTATAAATGGATTCGAAAAAAAAAATTTTTTTGTTAATGAAAATAATAATAAAAGTCGTATCTATAGTGATTGTGTATTTGCCCGGTTAAAGGGACATAGGAATGACTAAAGCACTCTCGTGGGACCGTGCAGCGGTAACTGTTTTGACAGTTTGAAAAATTGTTGCCAAATTGTTCTTCGGGTATGCATTCTCACATTTTTCTGTTACCGTCTCCTTTCTTTTCTTGTTTTTCTTTATAATACAATATTCACTGACATATAATGTACATATATAAATATATACCTCTAAAGTCATGTACACTTCTTAGTTTCGAAGATGAAAGATGCCACGTCTCCAGGGAATTTGGCTATTTTCATCATTATTATCATCGTCTTCAAAGAGAAAAGAAAGAAGCTTTTTTCTAAATTTTCCTCACTCCCTGATTTTTATTTCTTTTGAAATTTTTGTTCTTTTATTAATGACACGAATTTGGGGAATTTTTTAGTCCTTTTGTTTACTGCTTGTTTTCGTTTTCTAATTTTTTCTATTTTTTTCCTCTATAATTTTTACTTTTTCTGTTTCTTAATTTCTTCTTGTTTTCTATTCTTTTTAATTTTTTTGTTTAAGGAAAATAATTGAAATTTTAATTAATTTATTTATTTAGTTTAATTCTTTTTTGACTGTTTCTTGTATTCTTTTTTATTTTCTGACTGTTTCTTGTATTCTTTCATAATTTTCTAATTTTTTCTTGTATTTTTTTATTTTCTGTCTGTTACTTGTATTCTTTTTTTATTTTCTGATTAAAATAAAAATTCGTTTTTTGGAAAAATAGAATTTTTTTGTAGTTTTCGAAAAAAGGGATATAAAAAAAGGCAAAGAAAAAAACTTTTGAAAGTTTGACTTATTTTTTACTGAATCTAAATTACGTGGAATGCATGCACTGTACGGAAAAGGGGACTTTCTGTGCCATTACTCAAAGATGGCACCCGGAGTCCGGTAGTGCCCTAATCTCAGCACATGAGACCTTAATGGGATTTTAAGGCGTCAGGACCACCTGCGCACTTCCCCGTGGCCAACTCCGTTTGTCTTTCTCTTCAACGATCTCTGGACATGTCTTATACTTCTATTTCCAAAAAAAAAAAAAATAAAAAAAAGACGAATTCATGTTTAATCCACTGAATCGTTCTCAATTAACTCTAATATACACTTGAGACTCAATTTTTCGCACTTAATTATAATTTTTGCTAAAGTTTCGAACGTTCAAGAAAAAAATATTTATTTACTTACATTATTACTTACATAAACTCAATTTTATTAAAAAATTTTTTTGTGCATTAAACAAATTATTTTGCGTATTAAAAAAAGTTATTTTGTTTATTAAAAAAACATTTTGTTTATTATTTTATTATTCTTTAAAATACAAGAAAAAAGTATAATTTTTACCTCGATTTTGGGTAAAAATTTTCTTCTACGTGAAAGAAAATATTTATTTACTTCCATATGTTTCTTACTTCACTCAATTTTATTGAAAATTTTTTTTGTGTATTAAACAAATTATTTTGCGTATTAAAAAAAGTTATTTTGTTTATTAAAAAAACATTTTGTTGATTATTATTTTATTATTCTTTAAAATACAAGAAAAAAGTATAATTTTTACCTCGATTTTGGGTAAAAATTTTCTCCTATGTGAAGGAAAATATTTATTTACTTCCATATTTTTCTTACTTCACTCAATTTTATTAAAAAATTTTTTTTCTGCATTAAAGAAATTATTTTGCATATTAAAAAAAGTTATTTTGTTTATTCAAAATATTTTGTTGATTATTATTTTATTATTATTTAAAATACAAGAAAAAAGTATAATTTCTACCTCGATTTTGGGGTAAAAATTTTCTCCTAGGTGAAAGCGTTATTGTCTATGTGCAAATGCATTGTTTAAAATTACTCGCAAAAAAAATAACACTATCTTTTTTACAGTGTAAATTATTTTCTATTTTACAAAAATTAATTAAATATTATATCATTAATCAGTAAATAAAATTAATAATTCAGTAAAATGTTTAATATACATTATTTTTCATTTTATTTAGTAAATTTTGAAAATTGTTTAAACAGAAAATAAATTTTGTTCATATTTGAACTTTCCACAATTTTTGGAAAATTTTTTACAAAAAGCGAAAAATTTTCCAATTTTATTTTCTCCTTTATTTAAATAATTTTTTATTTTTAAGTAATTTTTAATAATAAACAAAAAATGTTGTGCGATAATTTTGAAACCTAAAATTTCCCCCTCCCCTGGGAAAAATCTCCTTCTCTTAAGAAAAAAAATCTTTAAAAAAGGAAAAAAATTCGAAACGAAAAAGAAAATAAATTTTTAATTTCAATTCACAATTGTTCTTAAATCTCTCGTTTTAAATTACAGGGTTGGAGTGGGTAGAGCCCATTTCGAGAAACAGCCTCCGAGCAATCTAAGGAAGAGTAACTTTTTCCACTTTGTTATTGCTCTCTACGATCGAGGGGGACAACCGATTGAAATCGAAAGGACGGCTTTCATTGGATTCGTCGAGAAGGACCAGGTAAGTTGATATTCTTTTTCTTTATTGTTTTTTTCCGAGTAAAAAAGCAATTATATGAATTTTTTTTTACTCTATGTAAATATTTTTTTACTCTTTGTAAATGTTATTTTTACCCTATATAATTATTTCTCTACTCTATGTAAATATTTTTTTACTCTTTGTAAATATTTTTCCCTTATGTAAATATTTATTTACTCTATGTAAATCCCCCCCCCCTTCTATAGGAAAATATTTACATTTTTCTGAGTAAACAGACAATTATATAATTTTTTTTTTACTTTCTTTAAATATTTTTTTCCCTATGTAAATACTTATTTATTTTATTTAAATATTTATTTACTCTATGTAAATATTTATTTACTATATGTAAATATTTATTTACTATATGTAAATATTTATTTACTATATGTAAATATTTTTTACTCTACGTAAATATTTTTTTACTCTATGTAAATATTTTTTTACTCTATGTAAATTCCTCTTCCCCCCCTTATGGTAAAATATTTACAAATTCAGAAAATATTTACATACGTAAAGAATTATAGTGTAAAGAATTTTTATTGGCAAAGATTATATATATGAAACGTAAACGAATTAGGGATGACGATAATAAAAATTTAACGGGAATTAATTTTTTGTTTCATCAAGCGGCATTTATCTGTTTCACAATAATTTTTAAAGTCTTTCTCGTGATAACGTTATAAATGTGCGTTTAAAAATACAAATAAAAAAAAAACACACAGGAAAATTGATGGGGATGGGGGAAAAAAGTGATAGGAGTGCTTTTTTTATGGCCTTCGGGTAAATGTATAGGAGCCTATATTTGGTTATCTCGATAATTGCCATTTTCATCCAAGTATAACGTCAAATATTAAACAACTGACTGCGTACATCTCGTTAAATCGTTGATTTCACAATGTATGTGCGTATATTGCAACGATTAGATGAACGCTCGAAAATCCATTGATCATGAGATGAATATCAACTCGATACAATACGTATTTGTCATATGTTATATGCGTGATTTCCGGAAATTCCCCCTCGTTTCATGGAAATTAGTTGACCTTTGATGGGTATAAACAATTATTTTTTTATTAGTGTCACTTAATTATTTAGTTTGATTGATTAAATTCAATTACTCGATTATTGCAGCTTTAAAAAATTTAAGTTTTTTCTACATTAAAGATAAAATTATTTTTATTTAATTTATTTAAATCCAATTATTAAATTTTATTCCATTTAATTCAATTATTCAATTTTGTTCCATTTAATTCAATTATTTATTGCAGCCTCAAGGCATTTAATTTTCAAATTTTTTTATTTCTATTCAAATTTAAATTAGTCGGAATTTAGTTTTTTGAATATTTACTGTTTAATTACTTAATTATTTACTTATTATTTATAAGATATTTGATTTCTAGATTTTTTAATTCTAATTTTTGCAATTTATTAATTTTTAATTTGTAAGAAAAATGAAAAAAATCTAATTTGTAATATGTAATTATTTACCTCGTTTGATTGCATTGTTTTTTGTTGAGTGTTTATTTAAAATAAAATTTTTTTTCGAGGTTTAGTATTGAAGAACAAATATTAAAAACATGATCTGATTAGGGGCGTTTCTATATATCTAGTAACAAGCAATCCATGCTGAAATAACCATAAGGAGGGAGAAAACTACCTAATAAATCTCGATGCGATAAATCATGACCTAATTTGACAAACTGGAATTCTTGAAAAAAAACTGGATTTTCGAAAGAAGCAAGCTTTCTCGCATGTTTCTTCGATGCTTAATACTTATTGGAGAACAAAATTTCCAAATGCAATAAATTTTATTTTATTTTATTTTATTAAAATAAAAAATTGTACATAGGATTTAAAATATAATATTTTTTTAGGGTTTAGGTAACGAAAATTAATTTTGTCTTTCTCTTGTGAAAATTTAATCATCTATAGAAATTACAATTGCAATTTATTTAGAAATTCAATTATGTGGAATTTTTAAGTAAAATAATTTGATGAATTATTTATAAATTATTTAAAAACTAGCAAATATTATGCGCCGAATGTGATATTCCATTTATTATTAAGCGAATTTACAGAATTTTTTTAAATTTGAAATCCTAATTTTTGAATAAATTTTTGCAAAACTTCCATTATTTTCAACAAAATTTAAAAATAATATCATTAAAAAATTCAATTATTTTCTAAAATTTTAATAAACTATTCGAAACCGTTTAATTATTTTTTTTAAATAGTAAAATCTTTTCAAAAATTCACTTATTTCTTTAATTTTGATAAATCATTCGAAACATTTCAATTATTTTTTTTTAAATAGTAAAATCTTTACAGAAATTCAATTAATTTCAATAAAATTTCACTAAAGAATTCAATGATTTTCTACAATTTTAATAAATTCTTTTAAAAAATTCAATTATTTTCTAAAATTTTAATAAATCCTTTGGAAAAATTCAATTATTTTTATAAGTAGTAAAATTTATCGTAAGAATAAAATTATTTTTTATAAATAATTTTAATGAACTTCAATAATTAAATATTCAATTATGATTATTAACTGAGATTTCATATTTAACAGACATTCAATTTTTTTTAAAATTGATAAAAATTCTTTGTTTAATTCAATTATTTTAAAAATTTTTAATTAAAATTATTAAAAAAAATTACATTATTTCTCAAAGAAACTTAAAGAAATTCTTCAAAAGAATTTGATTTATTTAAAAAAACTCTAATAAAATTGTTTAAAAGAGTTTAATTTTCTATCAATAATTTTAATAAAATTTTAATCGCAAAATAATTAATTACAATTATTAGCAAAATCGATTATATTTAATAAATTAAAGGCATTTTTTGGAAAGAATTCAATTATTGTCAAAAAACTCTATTATATTTCCAAAAAAATTAAAAGAAATTCTTCAAAAGAATTTAATTAGGATTTTTAAAAATTTTAATAAAATTCTTCGCTAGAATTAATTTATATTTTCATAAATAATAAAACTCATTGAAGAATTTCGATTATTTTTAATACTATTTTAAATTAATTAATCGAAAAATTCAATTATTTGTGATAACAAATAGTTTTCCACAAGAATACAATTATTTAAAATAAAATTTTCATAATATTTATTATATTTAGAAAAAATTATTTACTTAAAACAATGTTTATAGAATTTTTATAAAGAATTCAATTATTTTCAAAAATAACAAAATTTTTCCCAGAAATTCAATTGTTTTTAAAAATTTTAGTAAAATTTCTCGCAATAATTCAATTATTTTCATAAATAATAAAATTCTTCTTAGGAATTTAATTATTTTGAGGAATTTTAATAAAATTCTTTGCAAAATTTAATTATTTTCATGAATAATAAAATTCATTGCAAGATTTCAATTGTTTTTCATACAATTTTACAGGTATTGCTAAAAAAATGTAATTATTCTTAAAAATTCCATTTCAATTCCTCGAAAAAGTCAATTATTTAAAAAAATGTCGTTTTAAAATTCTTTGGAAGAATACAATTATTTACAAAACTATTAAAATTTTTCACAGGAATTCAATTATTTTTAAATATTTTAATAAAATTGTTCGAAAGAAATTATTTTATTTTAAATACAATTTTAATTAGATTTTTTTTTTGAAATAATTCAATTATTCTTTTCGATTTTAATAAAATTTTTCCCAAGAAAAATTGTTGCGAGGCAGCGTTTTAATTTGATAATCTTAGAATAACTGTGATTATAAATAAATAAAGTGATAAAAATAAGTAGATAAAAGTAAAACTTAAAGTAATGTAGTAAAATTTATCTTTTGATTAGAAAAAAAAAATTTGAAATAAGCGCGGTTTTTCCTACGAATGAGAGAGTTATTGTGGCGCAAGCGCAGTCATAGGACATCTGGTGGCATGTGGTTGAACTAAATCTTTAGTACAAGATTGACAATAAAGAATAAAGTGAACAATGATTGTAGTTATTACAAATTACAATAAAGACAATAAAGTCTACAATAAAGAGAAAAATTCAGAAAATAGTAAAGAAATTCTCGAAGTTGATCGCAAATGGAAAGAAAATAAAAAAAAACAGTTGTATTCAATAAAATAGCAAAAAGTCTGAAAAGAATAAAATTATATTGTATAAAGTGACAAATCGCCAGTAAAGTGTTGACTCCATTTCTGATATAGAGCGAAACCTCTTGAAACTGATGAGAATGTTGGTTTATATTAAATAATAGAGTGACGTGAAAATATGTAAATTCCGTGGGTGTGTTGGTGGTTGACGGAACATTGCTAGAGGTGGTCATGAGTCGCCTCTCTCTACTCCGGGGGTTGATGTATGTCCGTGGTGCATGACCCTAATTAATAGGGAGACCACGCGATGCAACTGTCCACCAACGTGAATTATACATATACGTATGTGTACGAGTAAGAGCGAGAGTAAGGTAGATGGATGTAGGGAGCAACTGAGAGAGAGAGAGAGAGAGAGAGACGGAGATTACCTACAATACATTTACAAAGCCAGTGTAAACACTAGCACGTGGTCATGTGTAATTAGTTAAGTAGGTTGACCAGTGCGTTAAATTGCACATGCCTGAGCAACCAGGTGACTATTTCGTGAAATCATGAGTGCAGAAATTTCGGAGTAATTGGCTTGATTCTCCATCTCTATGTCGTTGATGCTGTTAACTGAAACTTGCTTTTGAAATCTGATGCGCACGCAACTCTATACTCCTAATATTGTTAATGGAAAATTTTACTTTAAGATCTTCGGTCTTGAATTAAAACTAATATTTGACATTTTTTCAAATTTAACTAAAATTAGTTTCATCCAGAAACTATTCAATTTTAATTAAAACTTTTTGTATTATATTTAAAAGAAGAATTTTTAGAAATGTTTAAAGTAAAGAAAACGAATTTTTTCGATCAAAAGAAAAAAGGAAAAAGAATGAAGAGTAACCGGAGTAAATAGTAAATAGTAAAAAAAATAGTAAATATTAATAGTAAGTAGTGAGGTATTAAAAAGTGTTGCAGATTAAATTAACACCAAAAAAGATTAAACTAATTAATTTTGGTGTTATTTTTTACAATGAATGAAATTTGAGTTCAATAAATTTTTTTATAACTATAAAACATGAAGATATCGACAACTCCGAGTCTTCGATTTCTTCATATTTTATAATAATTAAAGATGACCAAGTAATAAAATCATTATTTTATATTATAAGAATATTATACTTCTTCAAAATTATTTTCATTATTTCAGTTTAATTATTATTTTCAAAAATTTTTTTAACTACATTTTTACTCTATATCAATTATTTTTAATAACTTTCGAAATAGTTCTTTGGCAATTTTCAAGTCCATTTGTTTACCATATTTCATTTTACGAAATTTCAATTATTCCTAAATTCTTTAATTAAATGCATATTAGAAAATAAAAACTTCAAATAATATAAAAGAAAATTCAATTCAACTTTTTAAAAAAAATTAATTTCAAAATTCAATTATTTCTAAAAATTCACTCTATATTTCTTTTAATATTCAATTATAATCTAAAATTTTAACTAAAATTTATTTTTATAAAATGAAAATCAATTTTTATTAGAAAATTTTACAAGAATTTAATTATTTAAATGCAAAAGTAAATAATTTTTTGAATAATTGAATGTTTCTCAAAATTTAATTCTCATAAAGAATTTTAGTAACAAATTTTTAACTAATTGAATTCTTTTGTCGAAATTTATCAAAACTTGCATGAACATAATTACTTTTTTCAAGGAATTCAATTATAATAGTATGAAAAATAATTGAAACGCTGCGATGAGTTTTATGAGAATTTTCAAATTCATTCGTTTACAATTCAATTTTACAAAATTTCCATTATTCGGAAATTCTGCAATTAAATACATATTGAAAAATAAAAACTTGAAATAATTTCAATAAAAATCCTATTGAACTTTTAAAAAGAATTAGTTCTACATAATTTTTTGTCAAAAATATGAAAAATTAAGAATTTCAATGATTTTAATTTGAAACTTTTTCAAAATTTAATTATTTCTATAAATCCACGTTATAATGCTTTTAATATTTAATTATAATTTAAAATTTTAACTGAAATTCATTTTTAAAACCATTTTTATTAGTAAATTCTACGAGAATTCAATTATTTAAATACAAAAATAAATAATTTATTGATTTCATGTTTCTTGAAATTAAATTCTCATAAAAAATGTTATCAACAAATTTTTTAAATCATTAAATTCTTTGGACGAATTTTAATAAAATTTTTAAGAATTATTACATTTTTCGAGGAATTTGATTAAAATTGCATGAAAAATAATTTAAATTCTGCAATGAGTTTTATTTATTTATGAAAATAATTGAATTCCTAAAAGAATTTTATTATTATTATAAAAGTAATTGAATCCCTGTAAAAATGTTATTATTTATAAAAATAATTGAAGTATTGCGAAGAAATTTATAAAAAAATTTGTAAATAATTGAATTTCTGTAAAAAATTTTATTATTTTTGAAAATAATTGAATGTTTACGTAGAATTTTATTCAAAATTTTTTTTTAATATTGAAATTCTTTTGAAAAATTTTATTAAAATAGTAGATATTAAAAATCATTGAATTTTAGAAAACTTTTGAAATTAATTAAAATTTTGACAAGAATTTGATTAAAATTTTGTAAAATAATTGAATATCAGAGAATAATTTTATTATTTATGAAGAGAATTGAAATTTGGACGAGAATTTTTAAAAATTTTTGAACACAATTGAATTTAGTAACTATGTTACTAATTTAGTTAGTAAGTTAATAACTAACTTACTAACTTACTATTCTCCCTGGAGAAGCTAAAATCGTTGAATTTTTACAAATCGTTGACTTTGGTGTTTTATTTAAGGGGACTTTCTGGTTTAGAATTGACAAAAAAGGAAGGTTTTAAAACTTTTATTGTAAGAACAGTATTAAAGAAATTGTAAAAACTATTTTTGGACATTGTAGCACATTGCGTAGAGAAAATTTAAAAAATATGTTTGAGTGTATTTAGTTCAATTTCATAGCTGTAGGTGGCGTCTTCCAAAAGATACCTTTTTTTTGGTACGTTAGATTCCGGGCAACCTGTAATACATAAATTCAAGTTCCAAACGGGAATCTCTTCATAAGGATTTATTCTTGTGCCTAAACCTCAAAAACGATTTTTTTTAAAGGTTTTTTTATTTTATATGTACATTTTTCTCAAAAACTCCCAAAAACGCCGTGTTTTTGGGTCAATTTACCTCCATATAAAAACACAGGCGGTAGAAATATGAGTTTTTAGAGGTTTAGGCACCAGTTTTTTAAATAAAGAATCGAAAAATTTTTGGGATTTCAAAATCGGTTCGGTAGATTTCGAGAAAAGCTCTGTACCAGTTTGAAAAATGAGTTTTCGAGAAAAACGCGTTTAAAGTTTTCATAACATAATTCATTGAGTCATGAATATCAAACAAATTTTTATTACAACAGAACTTCGTATCCCGCTGTTTTTGGGGTCGCTGATTACGAATTTGATGTCCGTTTTGGAAAATCCAAAATGGCGGATCCAATATGGCGGACGAAAAAATAAAAATTCAACCGGATTTGCTTAAAACTTGTTACTCGGGGGTTTTTGGGGTCGCTAATTACAAATTTGATGTTAGTTTTTGAAAATACAAAATGGCGGATCTAATATGGCGGACGAAAAAATAAAAATTCAACCGGATTTGCTTAAAACTAGAACGTTGATGTTTTGTGCCTATATTCATAACTAGCAATCTCAAGAGGCCACAAGTAACCATTTTCAACTAAATTTAATTAATTTCTTAATCTTTGTCCGCCTTATTAGATCCGCCATTTTGTATTTTCAAAAACTGACATCAAATTCGTAATCAGCGACCCCAAAAACCTCCGAGTAACAAGTTTTAAGCAAATCCGGTTGAATTTTTATTTTTTCGTCCGCCATATTGGATCCGCCATTTTGTATTTTCAAAAACTGACATCAAATTCGTAATCAGCGACCCCAAAAACCCTCGAGTAACATGTTTCAAGCTAATATCAATAAAAGAGGAACACCAAATATGTAAATAAGATAACTGTAGATTGTTGTTGAAATACATACCGTCATAAATATTGTTATAACTTTTGTTTTTGTACATATTTTTTAAAAATCGTTTTGGGACAGTAATTCTATGATACTAAGGAACATTTTTAAGCAAAAAAAAAAAAATCGATTTTTTTGAAATTCGAAACCAGAAAGTCCCCTTAAAGTAAAATTTAATTCATAGTTAAAAATAACACCAAAATAGATTATTTTAATCCTTTCTGGTGTTAATTTACTCCTGGAGGGATTAAACTGTTGCAGATTATTTTAATCCATTCTGGTGTTATTTTAACACTTCACGTTTTACTGTGATAGTAAAAATATTAAAATACTTTAGTTAATAAAATAAAAACAATAAATATTTTATAGTTGTTGTTCTAGGCGGTTCTTCTTTTCACCTATTTCTATTGTTTATTGTGGTTTACATTTATATTGTGTTCTATACATTACAATATCGAGAGAATCTTTTATAACCAAAAAAAAAAAAATTCCTTCTTTGATCCGGTTGATTGTTAAAAATGCATTACTAACGATATGGCAGATGGTGTGATGCACGCATGACTCGTCAACAGGGATGGATAATTATGCATCACGAGAGCCACGCGATATAACATAATGGCAAAGCTCTTATGGTCACATCAAGAAATTAATAATTAGTGGGAGATGGAAGAAAAAGTGAGACAGATAGATGTGTCGTGATATCGTATTTCTCCGGTGCATTTAATTAAACAAAAAGGAATCGCGAGTTATATACATATACATACAAAGATGGTGACCTGTTTTCTGAATGCATATAATGATTATTACCTATGCTAGCGGACTGCACGAGAAACCATATATTAAAATCATGTTTTCTTCTTCCTTTTAATGTGTAATTAAAATTATTCTTAAATATTATTTTTTATTATTATTTATTATTATCATTATTATATTTTTAAGTGATGGTAATTAAAAAGGTTAATTTGTACAATAATATTTATTTTTTTGTTACAGGAAAGCGAAGGGCAAAAGACAAATAATGGAATTCAGTATCGTCTTCAGCTTCTTTATGCGAATGGTGAGTATTGCTATTAATTAACAATTTACTATTATTTAATTTTTTCTTTTTGAATTTAAAATTGGTATATACGTAATTTATTTTCATTATTCTCATGAATTATGGATTTTTAAATAAAAATTGAAAATATGAATTCAATATCTTCAAAATAGGGTTTGGGAAAATTAGGCGAAATTAAGGAAATGACGAGAAATTCAATCGAAAGTAGTATTTAGTATTTTTTCTTTAATTTTTCAATAATACGGAAATAGTCTGAAATTTTATTGGTAGATGAAAAAAAATTGAAGGGAGAATATTTTTCTTCAAAAGAAGTGAATCAATCAAACTGAACTTGAGATCCTCGGGACAATTCAATGATAATCATTTTTAAAGTAATTCTTCTATATAAATCAGTCTCGAAAGACAAAAACGTGCACAAGTGCTATTACATGAGTTTGAATTTTCATTAATGGTTGAGGATAGAAAAAAAGTCATGATTTTGAAATAAGTGCAGTTCTTATTGTCAATGTGTGCCATATATGTTTTCTTCCCACATGGATCATAAAATAAACTTCGGTTTTCTTATTTAGTTGCTTCTTTCTTTTCTTATCTTTCTTTCTCTCTTTCTTTCTTTTAATATTTCTCTCTTATTTTCCCTTTATCTTTCTCTCTTTCTTTCTTTCTTTCTCTCTTTTGTTACATTTCTCTCTTTCTTTCTCTCTTGAGCAAATACTTTTTATCCATTCGCTTTGAGTTCCGATCGATCAATGCGAGATTTTTGCCGCTGGAACTTTCTGAAGGGCCGTCCTACCATCTTGGGAGACGAAAACGTGTTGCCAACATTGCGAACAAGAAATAACTATAACTGTTGCAAAAGTCAGAAAAACTGACGGAGATCTTTTAGAATCGCGACCTGGTCCTCACGTCTTTTCCTCTCTTCTTCTTTTTCGAGTTATTTTTCTTCGATTTCTTCTTTCGACTCGTCAGATTCACTCTGGCACTTTTGACTGTTGTTAATAGTCCCTAATTATCATTTAATTCCCTTATTATCTTTCCCTTTACTTTAGTCTGGAATTTTAAATTTAAATTCCTAATTTTGCAAATTGAATAAATTTATTTATTTCCAATCTTTAAATTTTATATTGCAGTTTTTATAAAAAATCCTTTTTTGTATTAATTTTCTTCTTCAATTTCCATTTGTTTCCATCGCATTTTTCAAAAATCGAAAAAATTTTCCTTGAAAAAATTATAATTGAAGGAAAAACTATTTTACTTTAATTTACTTACTTTAATTCCCCTGAGGAATAAATTCATAATTATTAAACGTTTGAATACTTTTTGTCGACACTTGACGTAAATTTTTTACAAAATTACTGACTTGAGTAGAAAGGGAAAAATTGAAAAAAATTATTTATGGTTTGTTTTCTTTGTGAAGTATATAATAATATTTTATTTGAACATTTTATGGCTTTAAAGACAAATTGCAAACGATAAGGAGTTTATACTCTGTTGATGCGTTGATATACAGGTGTTCACGTCATCACATCTCCGATCTACCGACGAGGTAATAAATCTATAATTAAATAATAAATAAGGAGTGATCCCATCCAGCAGTCGTCACGAGCTCCTCCAAATCAGGATCTACTTCTTTTTGTCATCTTTTCAGCTTCTCTTTTCTTTCTCTTCGCCTTCTTCTCTCGTTTTCTTCCTTTCGCTCCCTTTTAAACAATTCAATAAAAGATGGACCGAAATGTTTTTTCCCCCTTCAATAAAAAAAAAAAAAAAATGGAAAGAAAAGAAAAATAAACAAAAACAGAAAAACAAAAATAAGAAGGGAATTATTGCAAAAATTCGAATTCAAACTATTTTAATTGTCTCATAAAAAGTGAGCAATTTTTATACTTGTATTAATATTTATTGTTTTGCTTTTTTATATGAATGACATTATTTTAAATTCTATTGAGACTTTGATGTTAAAATAAGAAAATTTCTTTTTCTTACGCTTTGAATTATCCTAATATTATTATTGCTCTTATTTTTTATTCTTAAATATCAACTTCAATTTTTGAATAATTTCATATTCCAAAATTAATAAAAATTCTCTTATTGAGTAATTAAGAAATTTCTTATTATTTTATTTATTATTTTCAAACATTTTAATAAACTTCTTCAAAAGCAATTTAATTAATTTCAAAAATTTAATAAAATTCTCCATAAGAATTCAATTATTATTATAAATAATAAAATTTTTGGCATGAATTTAATTTTTTTTCTCTATAATTTTCATAAATTTTATCGAAAAAGTTCAATTATTTTCAAAATTTTTATTAAAATTCTTTATAAGAATTCAATTATTTATTATTAAGGAAATTTTCATTCAATTCCTCGAAAGGATTCAACTTTTTTTGTTAATAACAAAATTCTATTCTAGGAATTCAATTATTTTTTTTAAATTAAAAAAACCATTATAAGAAATTAATTATTTTTAATGCCATTTTAACTAAATTTCTAGAAAAAACGCAATTATTTTTCTTTAAATAAAAAAGAAATTTTTTTTATAAAAATTCTGTTATTTTTTAATTTTAACTAAATTAATTAATTAATTAATTTTAATTAAATTTTTATTAAAATTCATTATAACAATTCAATTATTTATTAATAAGGAAATTTTCATTAAATTCCTAGAGAGAAATCAATTATTTTTATAAATAATAAAATTCTTTAAAATAAAATACTTTCATTGCAATTTTAACTAAATTCATCAAAAAAATTCAATTATTTTTATTAAGAGTCAAATTCTTTGGAGGAATTCAATTACTTTTCTTTAAATAAAAAAAAAAATTTTTTTATAAAAGTCCAATTTTTTTTATGCCATTGTAATTGAATTCTTAGAAAAAATTCAATAAATTCTGTTTACAATTTCTCGAAATTTCTCGAAATTTCTCAAATTATTTCAATTATTTTATTGACAATTTTTTAAAAAAAAATTCTTGAAAGTATTAAATTATTTTTGGAATTTTTGATGAAATTTCTGATAAGAATTTAATTACTTTTAGTGAAATTTTAATAAAAATTAAAATAAGTAAAACTTAAAATAAATAAAATAAATTTTGAAATCATTACTTATTCCAGCCCCTAATTATCAATAAATAAAAAAAATTAAAATGAAGTAATTTTAAAGTAAGTAAAATAAATTTTCAAATCATTATTTATTCTAGCCCCTAATTGACAACAATTAAAAAAAATAAAATAAAGTAATTTTAAAGTAAATAAAATAAATTTTGAAATCGTTACTTTCTGGCCCCAATTATAATAAATAAAAAAAAATTAAAATAAATAAATTTTGATAAGTAAAATAAATAAAATTTGGTAAAAGATATATAATGTAAGATAAATGAGTTTTCAGGTGTTAGTTGATGTCGTCCTTCAGGTAAACAAATGCCCTCGTATACAAATTTTGTCTTGCACGTCCAGTTTAATCTGGAGTAATCCCAACATAAGACTTCTAAATTCCGTTGGCCCAACAACCGGCTGAGGTGCATACTTACACCGCATAACGTTCATACCGTGGATTATTATAGTCCACCCGAAACTAGCTCACAAATTACCTCGAGAAACCTTCGCGGCTTACCGGAAGTTACTTTTGCAGCTACACTATCTTCCCTGGACCATACACATCACCAAAATATCCGAGCTATAATTAATTATTCACCTCATTGACCCGAAAAAAAAATTCCGTAAATAAAAAATAAAATTCAGTTATAATTATAAGTTAAAATTGCGTTGAAAGTATTTTATTATAAAGAATTTTATTAGTTATAAAAATAATTGATTTCTTTCTAGGAATTTAATGGAAATTTCCTTAATAATAAATAATTGAATTCTTATAAAAAGTTTTATCAAAAATTTGGAAAATAATTAAATTCAAAATTGTAAACAAAATTTATTGAATTTTTTCTAGGAATTCAATTAAATTAGCATAAAAAATAATTCAATTTTTTCTAGGCATTTCATTAAAATGTCATAAAAAATAATTAAATTATTATAAAATTTTTTTTTTTTTAATTAAAGAAAAATAATTGAATTCCTTCAAAGAATTTCACTCTTAACAAAAATAATTGAATTCCTTCAAAGAATTTCACTCTTAACAAAAATAATTGAATTTTTTCGAGAGATTTAATTACAATTGCAATGAAAGTATTTTATTAAAAAAATTTTATTATGTATAGAAATAATTTAATTCTTTCCAGAAATTTAATTATTATTTCGTTAAAAATAATTGAATTCTATTAAAAAGTTTTATCAAAAATTTGAAAAATAATTGAATTCTTTCGAGAAATTTCACGAAATTATAAACAAAATTTATTGAATTTTTTCTAGGAATTCAGTTAATTGGCATTAAAAATAATTGAATTATTTTAATTTTTTTTAATTTAAAAAAAATAATTGAATTTCTACAATAGAATTTTATTTATTAACAAAAATAATTGAATTCTTTCAAGGATTTAATTATTATTCATAATAATTTACTTATTAAGTAGTTAACGAATTTCTTATTATTTTATTTATTATTTTCAAAAATTTTAATAAAATTCTTCAAAAGCAGTTCAATTAATTTCAAAAATTTTAATAAAATTCTCCGTAAGAATTCAATTATTTTTTTTCCTTTATAATTTTCATAAAGCTTATCGAAAAAATTCCATTATTTTCCGAATTTTTATTAAAATTCTTTATAGCAATTCAATTATTTATTATTAAGAAAATTTTCATTAAACTCCTCGAAAGAATTCAATTATTTTTTTTAAATTAAAAAAACCATTATAAGAATTCAATTATTTTTAATGACATTTTAACTAAATTCCTAGAAAAAATGCAATAAATTTTGTTTAAAAAATTTTTTGACAGAATTCAATTATTTGCCAAATTTTTAATAAAAATTTTTATTAGAATTCAATTATTTTTAATACAATAATAATTGAATTCCTGTTAAGAATCCATTTATTTTTATAAATAGTAAAATTCTTTATAACGAAATACTTTCAATGCAATTTTATCTAAATTCCTCGAAACAATTCAATTATTTTTATTAATAATGAAATTCTTTATAGGAATTCAATTATTTTTTTTAAATTAAAAAAAAATTTTTTTATAAAAATTCAATTATTTTTTTTAGTATTTTAATTAGATTCCTAGAAAAAATTTAATTATTTTTTATGCCATTTTAATTGAATTCCTAGAAAAAATTTAATAAATTTGGGTTTTTAATTTTATTATTTATAAAAATAATTGAATTCTTTCCAGTAATTTAATTACTATTTCGTTAAAAATAATTGAATTCTATTAAAAAGTTTTATAAAAAATTTTCCAAATAATTGAATTCTTTCATGAAATTTCACGAAATTGTAAACAAAATTTATTTGCATTCTTTCTAGAAATTTAGTTAAAATGGCATTAAAAATAATTGAATTCTTATAATTTTTTTTAATTTCAAAAAAATAATCAAATTCCTACAATAGAATTTTATTACTAAGAAAAATAATTGAATTCTTTCGAGGAATTTTTTGAAAATTTTCTTAATAATAAATAACTGAATTGTTATAAAGAATTTTAATAAAACTTTGGATGGCGCCTTTTTATGGCTCCTATTTAAGTAGGAGCTTCTTAAAATTAGATTACCGTTTTTTCTGTGAACGAATTTTAACTTTATAGGCAAGGCAAGAAAAATTGTCTGACCAAAAATTTTTTTACTACTGAAATTTCAATGAGGATAAAGAAAGACTATTTTTTCTGTTTCAGGTGTCAGGCAGGAGCAGGATATTTTTGTGAGGCTGATCGACTCCGTCACGAAACAGGTAAGAATTCATAAAATATTTATTATCTACAACAAATGATTATTTGCTTAATTAGAATAACACAGTTTTTCTGTATATGTCAAATTGAGACAAAAAACGAATCAAAAGTGTTGCGATACAACACTTTTGATTCGTTTTTTGTCTCAATTTGATATCTGCAGAATAACTATAAAGGTTTATTTCGCAAAAATTCTTATTTTGCACTCTCTAAACTTGAATTAGTAAAAATGTTTACTAATTCGAATTAGTGACTGACTTTTTGCTTTTAAATTAGTAAATTTTACTAATTAATAGTAAAATAAAGTAAGACTACTAATTTATTAGTAAAATTTACTAATTCAAAAGCAAAAAGTCAGTCACTAATTCAAATTAGTAAACATTTTTACTAATTCAAATTTAGAGAGTATGTTTGTTGTTTATTTTTTTGTTTTTGTTTCTAAATTCACCGGTTTTGAAAGGGTATAACTTCCGGTTGAGCGCGCACTGCGAACAAATCGGGTTTGGCTGGTGTCGCGCATGCTCTCAGCTAAAGTGGCGTTATCGTAGTTCGTACAAGCACTTAATTTTCCGGGGGGTTGATTTCAACCCCAGGAATACAGCAGCATTTGCGCGACTGTAGTGTCCCGTTATCTGCGCCACGTGGCGAACCCCCAATGTATACGTAGCAGGAACCACGTGTTCACCACCACCACCACCCACCTCTCTCACTCCTCCTTTCTCATGTCCCGCACCTAACTCAAAGGATGGGGAGATCCTGACGCGACGATAGCACCCTAAGAAGGATCATAACCTTCGAGCAAACGCAAATACGCCGACAGATTACGAGCAGGATAAGGACTTTATGTCTGGCAAAGGGTGATTTTTTCTCTCCTTTTGCTCTTTGAATATCCCTCGCACACTTTACTGGCAACTACATTCGCACCTACTATAATCATTTCATACAAAGACGTTCCTCTAACAAGTCTTCTAAGTCCTCTGTATGTCACATTCCATAAAACAGGGAATTATCTTTGTTTTCATGTTTCATGTTGGTTGCAAGCTCGAGTTTGTGTAACTGCCGGGCTCAGTATTTTGTCAGATTGTCGAGTTGTATATTAAAATGTTTTCTTTTGTTTGTTTTTGTTTTAATCGTGAATTAAATATTTAAACAGGGTTGACACAGGTTAAGAAAATGTCATCAGGGATTTTTATCAAAAGTGATGAGAAAATGTTAAAATTCTACAAATATTACGAAAGTTTACAACTCTTTAAATTTGAATTAGTAAAGATGTTTACTAATTAGAATTAGTAACTGACTTCTTGCTTTTAAATTTGTAAATTTTACTAATAAATTAATAGTTTCTGAATTAGTGAACATTACTTATAAATTATAGAATTATGAATTAATGAATTTTATGAATAAATTTCTGAACTTTACTGATAAATTAGTGGATTTTGAATAAGTAAATTTTTCTAAAAAATGAGTAGATTTTGAATTTATACACGGAGAAAAATATATAGTAACTTTTACTACTTTTATAGCAAAACGTTTCTGGTAAAGCATTTTTTGGTAACTTTCACTAGTTTCGAAGTAAATTTTACTCATTTTTTAATTTTTACAAATATGTTCTTTGAACGTAGCAAAATTTCAGGGTTCCTACAGAATCTGGAAACCATGGAAATCATGGAAATGGTATGGGATTTTTAAAAGGCTTCTGGAAATCAGAGAAATCATGAAAAAGGCCTGGAATTTTTAAAGTTTCTAAATTTTTCCTTTTTCCATTTTTTTCTTTAATAGAAATTCAATTAGAAATTTTAAGATAATATTAGATTTTCTACAAAAGGATGGAGACTATTAAATAAGTAAAGTGTTTTTAAAGAGCACAAAAATAATGAAGCTAAATCCCATAAAAGAGAGGAAAAAATGTTGAATTTTAAGAAATTCGGATTTTTGAATTTTTGATAATTTTCGATAATTTTAGATTTTTTACCAAAGATTCGAGACTATTAAATAAGTAAAGTATTTTCCAAAAGCACAAAAATAATGAAGCTAAATCCCATAAAAGAGAATGAAAAATGTTTAATTTTAAGAAATTCGGATTTTTGAATTTTTGATAATTTTCGATAATTTTAGATTTTTTACCAAAGAGTCGAGACTATTAACTATGTAAATTATTTTCTAAAAGCACAAAAATAATAAAGCTAAATCCCATAAAAGAGAGGAAAAAATGTTGAATTAAGAAATTCGGATTTTTGAATTTTTGATAATTTTCGATAATTTTAGATTTTTTACCAAAGAGTCGAGACTATTAAATAAGTAAAGTATTTTCCAAAAGCACAAAAATAATGAAGCTAAATCCCATAAAAGAGAGGAAAAAATGTTTAATTTTAACAAATTCGGATTTTTGAATTTTTGATAATTTTCGATAATTTTAGATTTTTTACCAAAGAGTCGAGACTATTAAATAAGTAAAGTGTTTTTAAAGAGCACAAAAATAATAAAGCTAAATGCCATAAACAAGAAGGAAAAATGTTGAATTTTAAGAAATTCGGATTTTTGAATTTTTGATAATTTTCGATAATTTTAGATTTTTTACTAAAGGTTGAAGACTATTAAATAAGTAAAGTATTTTTGAAGAGCCCAAAAATAATGAAGCTAAATGCTATAAAAAGAAGAAAAAATGTTGAATTTTAAAAAATTCGGTTACGACGTGGAAATTAAATTTAAAATTCCATTGGAATTTCCTCAAAATTTGACCCGGAAATCATGGAAAAGGTATGGAATTTTAAGTTTGGATTTCTCTATGAACCCTGAATTTACTCCAAAAGTAATAAAATTTACCAAAAATGCTTTACAAGAAATTCTGAACTTTTAAATGAGTGAAATTTATTTATTTCTTCTTCAAATTAAATTTTCATTATAAGAATTTTGCGTCACTATCAAAAAAATTAATTATAAAGTCATAATAGTAGCATAATTATTATTAAATTTTAATAACAAATCGGTAGATTTCGAATTCGTGAATTGTTCTAATAAATTAATATATTAATAAAAATAAAAATATGTTTGACTAAAATTTTCTAATTCAAAAAACTAATTTAAATTGAGAGAGAAGCTTCATGAAAGCGTCCCTAATTTATTAGGGTCGTCGAAACTATTTTTCAATTAATTTATCAAAATTTCAATTATTTTCCAATTGATTTATTTATTCAAGTTGCAAATAATTCAAATTAAGTTATGTAAATTTCAATTTTTTTTATTTAATTTATAAAAATGTAAATCTAGTTTTAAATTAATTTATCCAAATTCCAATTAATTTTTCAAAATTTTAATTATTTTCCAATTGATTTATTTTTCCAAATTGCAAATAATTCAAATTGATTTATCCAAATTTCTGTTATTTTCCATTTAATTTATCGAAATTTGATCTATTTTTCAATTAATTTATCAAAATTTCAAGTATTTTCCATATGATTCATCTAAATTTCAATTTAATTCCAAATTCAAACTTTATTCGAATTTTACTTAATTTAATCATATTTTAGTCAAGAAAATTTAATTTTATTCACATTTTAATTCAATTCAAAATGTTCCATCTTCTAATCCATTTAAATTTCTATAATTGATAAAAACAAATTTGTTAATACATTTTAATCAATTATGAATTTTATGTAAAGAAATTTTAAATTATTAAAATTTCTTAACATAATTTAAGATTAATGAATTCATTTGTCAAATTATGCAAATCTTTGACTATTTAAATTTCAATTATTTATTTTAAAAAAATTTGAATAGTCCTTATATATTCAAAATAATTGAGTTTTTGTTAAATAATTTCATTAAAATTTTTGTAAATAATCTAGTTTTTCAAGAATTTTTAATTAAATTCATAAAGGTTTTAAATTATATAAATTTCAACTGATTTTATATTTTAGAATAATTATACAATTAAAGAAATTCGTACACATTGGGGTACCAAAATACCCCAACTAATGATTTTTATTTGAGAGAGAGAGAGGGAGAAAAGAAGATTATATTTTAAATTTCAAACTATCAAAAATTGTAGAATGAATTGTAAAATTTTCTTTATTTATTTTTTTTTTTTTGAACGGCAGTGGTGGATTTGAGATGAAAACGAATTCAATTTGAGTTGACGCCGATTAATAAAAGGAATGGATCGCGAATAATCGTCGACCCGTCTCTCTGTGCGAGTGCACAGCTACCACGGCTTAGTAATTTAATCAGCTAAAACTAACATCGTTCTCTACTCGCCCTCCGACCCCATCCCTTCTTTTGTAACCTAGCTCCGTAACAGACCAACCCCAAGATGATTTAATCTTGCTAAAACGGTCGCGCTTACCTATAGGCACTTACCTATAGGCCGAGTTCACGACGACGCGATAGAAAATAATTTCAGAAAGTAGGTAACGTCTACCTATTTTAAACAAGTACTTGTCACGCGACAATCGCTTCTCTATATATATATTTTCCTTCTCAACCATCATTAATCTTTGAAAAATTCGCCATAAACTTATTATCTAAATTGCTTCATGTTTCTCTAGATATACTTTTTACTCCTTCTTTTTGTTCGTCTTTATTTATTTGTTTAACTTATAATTTTTAATTCCTTTTACTTTTCATTACATTAATAGCAAACTTTTTATTCTCTAAATTTGGATTAGTAAAAATGTTCACTAATTTTAATTAGTCAATGACTTTTTGCTTTTGCAAAATAGTAAACTTTTTACTCTAAATTTGAATTATTAAAAATGTTTACTAATTTTAATTAGTCATTGACATTTTACTTTTGAATTAGTAAATTAGTAAATTTTTTTAGTTAGCAAATAGTAATTTTTGCTTCTGAATTAGTAAATTTTACTAATAAATATAATTATTTTCACTAACTTCTTATTAAAATTTACTAATTCGAAAGCAAAAACAAAAAGTCAGTCACAAATTTAAATTAGTAAACATTTTTACTAATTCAAATTTAAAGAGTAAATAACAAAAGAATAAACAA